ATGCAAGTAACTGTTTCCTCTTCCTTCTTGGCCGTCCTCCGTTTGTGTCCACAACGGCAATCAGAGACAGCAGTTGGGTACAGCCGTAGAGATGGAAATTGCCCAGATGCTCGAGGAGAATTCAAGGATCCTCAAGTTTGGATATCAGTTTACCAAGCAAGGGCCACGAACAAGAGTGGCAGCTGCAATCACAAAGAATAATGACCTGGGTAATGCGGTCTTAATATGTGCTGTTAGCGGTTGAAAGAGAGGGGTGACCATTCCTTTCTCCACTTCGAATATAACATCCCACAGATACCATGACACTCTGGTGTCAGCCCTTCATCAAAAGCACATTACTGCATGATCACAGGAATCCTCATCATCTTCACTGTGTTGAAGTTTTATTGTAACATTTTTTCAAGAGAAACTGTTCTTTTTTTTCCAGACAGCCTTAGATTTTTGCTTGATTTCCCTTATGTATTTACTTCTCCTTTACTTACTTCCTTACACATAATCACCCTCTGTTGTTATCTGCACTGGAAGATGGACACAGTGACATGGAAATTTCCAGTTCACTTATGTTTGACTCCAGACTGTGCTTTTGTACTTGGGTTTAAATATGGTTATGTCTGATACACTGGGGATTTACATGCGAAATGAACTGACAGAGGTGTGCTGTGAAGGTCAGGCTCAGATGTAGCTTTTTCAGTTAGCCCTGCTTTAATCTTTCCTGTTACCCACTCTTTGCTGAGGATTCATGGCACATCATCTGTTAGACTGAGGTGGAGCATGTCCTGGTCAACAAAGCAAAGAAGAATGGGACTGATGGGGAAGTCTTGGTCTGGGGACATCCCAGCCACTTGAAGCTGCATGGAAAAAAGGACATCCAGGTACAGACAGTCCACTTGGCAAGCAGTCTGCTAACAGCAATGTTTCAGTCCCCAGGTAGAGGTTCGGGAACAGAATGCCAGACCTTGGTCAGGGGAACCGGACAAGGTTTCCCACCAAGTACAGTGCTGGTGGTGGACAAGATGGATGCTAAGGCTTAGACCCAGAAGGCGCAGATCAATGTCAGCGTCGAGTTCCCTGCCCAGACAGGCTCAGCCAAGACCCTGGGGCCCAGCCAAGGTGCAGCGAATGGCTCCTGAGACTGGCCCAGGCATATGACAGTGCTTACCTCCAAGGTGAAAAGGGGTGGGCTCGGGGGCAGCCCAGCAAACAGGGCTTTGGAGAATGATTGGAGCAGCAGTCGGAGGCGCCTGGGAAAACACAGTGGTCTAGGGCTGAACAACACGAGACCAAAGAAAAATAAGCAAAACAAGAGGTTTGAAGTAGAGAGCGATCCTGAGCCCAAGAGTGGCAGCTGTGGGCAACAGCTTTTGTGGAATTTCCTGCAGCCTAGGCAGGACCCTTGCCGGGGCACCTGTATTTTGCTGAATCCAGGAAGATGAGAGCAGCCCTCTTCCTACCCACCAGAGGAGCCTGCAGGTGAGGAGGTGAAAGGGAGAAGAACAGGGTTGCACAAACTGGGAAAGGCAGTCGGCGCAGCTTCTTTGACACTAGGTACCAGATTAAAGGACCCTTAATCTCTTGAGTTTGCTAGCCATCTGAATCACACCTTCCTTGGAGGTTGATACTTCGGAATTTCTATTTGAAACAGGCTTGGAGACTTTAAACTTCTGTTTGTAGCTCCTCCTGATCTTGAAGCTGAAATCAGAATTCTGAATGTGTCGTCCTGGGGGGTTAGTTAGAGAGCTGATGACTGAGTTACACAGAAGCTGAGAAGTTGCATCGGGGAAAGTAAACACAGTTAGAAGTTCACTGTTTCGTGGGCTTTTTCTCGACCTTCTACTCCATTGAAAAGGGAAACTTCTAACATTCAAGTTCCCAATTATCAGACACAACTTTATTTAAATGTGAATTCCACAAGGCACTGGACTTCTGTGTCATTTCCATTTCTTGGCAAGAGTAGTTGAGTGTTGAAATTTTTGCTAACTGTATCCGCTGGTGTGTAGGATTGCTCGTCTGTGTGGTTAATGTTGTTTGTCTGAAATTTAAGGACTGTCCCTTCGTCTGGTCTTTTTAAACCTTTCTTTCTCATCTAGTTCGTAAGAAGCGAGTTGAAGGAGACCGAAGGTAAACTTCCACGAGAAGAGGCGAGGTTTCACCACGGCGGTGATTTGAAAACAAAAGTTTTTCTCCTTCTCCGTTGGGACCATTTTATCAAAGGTTGTTCATTTCCGTTAACCACGCAACTCATCATTTAACTGTTTTTCTTTTTTAGCATGACTTACTTGTCTTGAAATTTTCAACATCTATTATTGTATTGCTGGCTCCTGGGCACCTCTGGCACCCTGGACCCGTGGACCGGTGCAGATCTGGGTGGGTGGCAACAGTCGAAAGCGATTTAACCACTTTCATATTAGGTTGTCTTGCTTTCTTACATGGACTTTTTTTTTATTTAACCATTGAAGGAACTTAGTATACAAATGTGTTTGTAACTGTGATTATGATAGAGGCCTTTCTCTGTTTACATGCATAATTTTGAGTAAGGCTAAATATATCAGAACACTTCTGACCCCGTGGAAGTTAGTATTGCCAATCTTTCCCTGGGTGAGAAAATGCGACCAGCTTAGCACAAATTCTCCCTTACGTTCCAGAAAAATCACTAAATGCACATGCCCCACTGATTGAAGATCAGCGGTATTCTCTTCATATGAAACAAGAGAGCATTATGATGCATTAACACAGCTTTAGCAAATAAGTGCGAAATATTTATTAACCCACAAATACAGCTTCAAGCCAGACTCACAGGTAGCAGAATGAATTAGCACAGCTACCTTTACTGATTATTCCACATAAATCCGATCTTGAATGTCACTATATGGATAACAGAAGCTGTTTTAAAGTTTTCCAGACATGATGGGACATTTTTAAACTTTAGCAAGGGGGAAGCTTTTAAAATAGTGCATTCCAAAATACAACAATAGTAATTGCACCTTAAGGTTGTCAGTTACACACGATTACATTGTCTTGGCGAATTTTAGAAGCATTTGTGGCTTTGTCTTTAGGGCAACAAGGTTACAGGATGAAATGTGAACATTCAAATTAATCATATAGATTTTGTCTACATGGCATGATCCATCGAGACATTTGCAAACATCAGAAAAAAATGTGAATTATCCAGATGTTTGTCATCTCAAGGACAAAGCCTATGAAAGTACAGCTGAGGTGATCGCATGGTAGATGCAACAATCTTTTCATCTGGCAGCACAGCACTGTGATGTTAAGGGAAGGGAACGTGTGTCTGCAGCCTCTGGCACCAGCTCATGGGTCTTTGATAACTGTCAGTGCCTGAGGCTGGACTCGGTGGCACTCTGACACTGCCTTAGGCACCTCTCCCTCCCTCCCCGCTGCTTTCCTTCCAACTCATTCCCTTTTTTCTTCTTTTCTGTATGATTTTGAGCCTTGTAAAGGTGACATCCCTTGTCCTAGTGATACCTGGAGCTGAAGAAGTTGCTGAGTCAGGCAGAAGGAGGGCCCAGTGTAGAATTTACTAAGTAATTGAGTGTCCCTGAGTTGCTTGACAGCAGTAAAACAAGTAAATGGGAAAACCATTCAGATATCACTCTAGTTACTTTGTAGAGCACATGGAAACTGTTTAGGGTAGAAAGCCTTTATAAAAGTGGACATTTACATGTATTATAAGTGCCCGCCTCTCTCTCTCTAAAATCCTTTGAAACATGAGAATATTTTACGTTTTTTGAGAGAATATTGAGCAGAGCATCTTGAATTCTGGAAACTCTAAAAATCCTTTCATTAGTTTTCTACTACATCTCCCTACCTATATATATTTTTTAAAGTATTAACTCCTACTTGATGGTTTTCAGTCTGGTTTCTTCTTCCCCTCTTACTCTTTTGGGTGTGGTGTGTTGGAGCCCACTCATACAGGTTCCCCGTTATTAAATTATCAAGAATTTTGCAAACTAGTTGTTAATAAGCACAGTCATTATTAAAAATTAAATGACATGCACTTACAATGAAATAAATTGTAGTAAAAAGCCAAACTAATACTCAAAAGTACATTTTACTATTTATATACTCTTGAGATGATTCGCAACTCTTGTGCCTGGCAGAAAGACCAGATAATGGTGTGCTGATGTGCATCTCTGCCCGACTCAGTGGTTCTTCCCACCTCAATTCAGTACTTCTTGTTGGTAGGTTGAAATTGGTAGTGGTGGGAGTATTTACACCATGGAAATCAGCAAATATTACAGATCATGGCTTCAATGCTCCCTTTCCCCCCAGGTTGCTGGTTAATAAACATTCATCAGCACATTATATAAATATATAGAATGTATACAGTTCTTGCTTGCTTTTTGTAGACGTGTTTTATTTACCATGTTGCCAAAGGGAAGAACACTTCTCTTAGTTGTCTTTCTCCTATCCCCTTAGGTTTGTTGCAGATGTATTTAAGTGCTGAGTCCCTGACATGCCCCACTAAGTAAGGCTTTTTCCTTTCTTTTCTCATTTACTCTCTCTCTTGCCTTCACTCTGAAGAAATCTTGGATCCTACAGAGTGTTCCCTGCAGCCCCAAGGTGCTGTGGACCAGGAACTAAAGCAATTGTTGCAGACCCTGGCAGAGAGCAAGGAAAAACAAAAACAAAAACAGGATTTGTTGACTATGCTGCTGTTGTTGATAGTATTAAAGCAAGATAATGAGATATTTCCAAATTAGTTCTGTTTCTAGCTTATAAAATAGTTGGGTCACATGTAATAGAGTCTGCTAACTCAAATATTTATTATTAATCAGTTAATCATTTGCTTTTGAAGTAGCTTGAGAGGTGACATTTCCATGAGTATTCATGTAACTATTAGAAGATAAATTGACATTCTGGGGAACGTATAAGTCATTTAATTAGGCTAGGACCATTTCTTCATCTGTCCAGTACGTGTGTGTGAGTAGAAGCTCTTTCGTGATCCTGAGCATAATTAATCCCTTGCCATCCGTCATGGTGGGGCATAATGTATATAAAATATTTTTATATGGAGGCATTTTGCCAAATATTATGTCAAGGTATTTGGCAACATCTGGACAATTGACTGAAGGGAGATCATCTCTCCCCAGACCACCTCCTTTTCGAAACCTTTTAGACTTGTCCAGGCATCCACTAGGTGTAAAATCACTCACCTGGACTTGCAGGCTCCTGTCACCAACACCCATCCCAGCATATGTGGAAGGTGACTTCTAGAGAGATCATGTCATTAGTCCAGTAGTATATCTCCCCATCTGCCTGCAGTGGATAATGGCAGCTGTTTTGTCCTCATCGGCACAATGAAATCCCTTCCTTTCATCTTGGTAGAGCATAATGTAAATAAATGTCGTGTGTGTGTGTGTGTGTGTGTGTGTGTGTGTGTGTGTGTC